TCTCCAAGAGCTGCGATAAGAACTCCGGCAGCAATAAGTAATACGGAAAGTGTTACCTGAAATAAGACAGAAAATTCCATTAGTAGATTTACCTACCAACTTTAGTCATTCTTCTTATCATTGACACACTATAGGTGGTGCCACTTGGTACATGGTTGGGCAAAACCTCAATGGATGATAAAATGGTAGGCGAAAGTAGATGGGCATAGCTTTCTCATTAATCAATGATATATCAATTTGGCATCTGTAGGGAAGAATATATATTAGTAAACAAAAGATTAAGTCTAGTGCCTTATTATTGAGTCAAATTCTACTTGAGTCTTCAAGCCAAACCCACCTATACTTTACAAATGTCGGAATGAATGCCTCCTTCTCCAACTTTTCCTATGTCAGCTACTATTTTGTCAGAGACTAACTATCCTGTATCTTAAAGGGGTAGAAGAAGTTCACTGGCCAACCAGTTTGGTGGTGAACACACTAAATTGTTTACCTCGTGAATACATTAGACTCAAGGTTAATGATAGTGGCTTAAGCATTGAGTAAGGATCAAATGATGACCATTACGTTAGTTAAGGGGGTACCATCTTTTCCCAAATAAATACTTCTCCAAACTAATCTTCTGACTGCATTTTGCTATTTGCATTAGCTTTATTTTAACTGTTTGCGCTGATAGAATAGTCAATGGTAGGTTGAAAGTAAATACAACCGTTGGACTAGCCCACTAGCAAGAAACTCTACACATAGCTTGAAATACATCCCTTTGGTTACGGGCCTGACTTTTAAGTCAGTTATCTTACATATAGAGTAATACAGGCAATATCATCTACATAGTAAACTAAGGAAAAATGTTACCTCTGTGGTTTTCACTTCTCCAAAATTCATAAAACCACAAATCGACTTACTATTAGTATAAAGCTTCCACTTGGTTTCCTCACATGGAGGAATGAAACCAAGACGTAAACAAAAGAAGTTGAGAAAGCTAAAATGCAGAATCAGATTACTGGTGTTTACAAATATGTATACACATTTGGATTCTCTTATTTATAGTGACTAGTGCATGAACATCTGTGTAGAAGTCACGGAAAGCAAAAACAAAAGTAACTACGTAAGTAGAGACAGTCTATCAATTTAAGTATACTGCCACTGCCAGGCATATAATAGCTAATTGTATAAGAAAATCAGAGCTCTATGTTTCCACACTCCCAGATCCCAATTTTTATCAAATTCCAAATAAAGTACAGTAAAGTTACAGTATACACAGAGATGAAAAGATATAAAACACCATCAAGAGATTCGCAGATCTATCGAGGCAACAAGCAACACTGAGAGCACTTAAAAAATGAAGTTACTCTACCGAACTAGTATGAAACCAGGTAGATATCTTAATCACCAACCTGAGTTGTAGGTCTACCCTTTCCGGTAAAGAATCCAGCTACCAGTACAGCAAGTGGCGTAAGCCTTTTGATGGCAATATACATAGGAATATTTACTCCTTTCAAGCTTGCTAAAGCAAATCCCACATTTGCATTGTAGAACAATGAAACTGGGAAAAGTCTTTTTGCAGTCTCTGCATTTAATTCTTTGGCTTTTGTGTATCCCATGACTCTACCAAGGTGTATGAGCAAAGCTGTTGCTATTTGCTAATAACAGTGAATAGACCAGCCAAAAAGGAAAAAAGGTAAGAACAAAAGAAACACAAGTCAACAGTTCACAAGATGATAGAAATCCAATATGTTTTCTGTCTATTCAGCATACTGATAAGTCATGTTATTGTACCTGGACTGTGAGAAGAGTCATTGAGTGGGCATATTGCATGATCACTGCCTTGTTGATGAAAACCATAGCCATAGATGCAATGCCATACGAGAATGCAGCAATTAAACTGTCAGTTAATATATGTGTTCTGTTAGTCAATAAGTTCCTAGAAACCATATACAGTGATATAACTTTAAACAGGCAGGAGATGGTTGGTTTTCTCTTCTGTACAAGACACTCCACTTCCAACCAAGAGGTAACAGGTTAATTTTTTCAAGTCACGAAAGCGGGAAAATAGGAAAAAGCCATTGTCGGCCTATGGGTTGCAGTAAGGTTTATCATATAAAAGATGATTAACTCCAAACAGCATGATCATAATATACTTCTATGTTCTCACACTTAACGGATCATTTTCGTTCTAAGATTGCGAAAAGTAGAATGGGACTACACTTAATTCCCTGATCAATTGATCTTCCTAATATAGTATATTGCTTTCTAAAAGAATGTAAGGACATGTCTACCTCCAGATATTTACTCCTTTTTCACTAGGCTATTATTTAATAAAGCTCTACGAGCCTATCATGCATTCTTGTTGGGGGTGAAAAATAAAGGACTCCCTCAAAAACCCCAAGCTTTGGGCAGAGTGGTATAGTGGAGAAGAAATGTGCCACTCAGCGAACTGAAACAGATGATGTTCCATTCTTTTTGCTTAATTCTTCCAGAAATTTAAACAGATTTCAGGAACATTCACTTCATTCTTTAGTCATTAACAGAAGTGCTGCTTAATCAGCCATTTCAAATTTTTCTTTCAGCAAGTTACCACAAGATTCAGTGGATGCAATTTATGAGGAAACTACCAAACAAGGTAAAAATGTAAAAAGCAAACAACAGAGCTAAAATACAACAAGGAGAAGTCATAATTTACTTGCATGCAACATCAACAACATACCCAGTGTAATCCCACTTGTGGGATTTGGGGAGGGTGGTGTGTATGCAGACCTTACCCCTACCTTGGGAGGTAGAGAGGTTGCTTCTGATAGACCCTCGGCTCAAGGAAAAGCATATCAAGGCAGATCGAGAGAGAAATAACGGAACTGAAAAAATCATGAAAAGCGTGACAAAACATTCTGAAAACAAGAACACTAACTACAACTTAATAGTGTGATGATCGAAGTACAAGAGACACTAACAGAAATTGAAGGACAAGAAACTACAAGAGAAATACTACGACTACTAGTATTAGGATGAATAATCTCCATAAGAAATTTACTTGCATGCAAGTAACTAGAATAATTTAGTTTATTAATTGAAAGAAAACGAACCTCAAATATGGACTTGAATCCATAATCTCCATTTGTCCAACAAACAAAAAGGAAAGAATCCTTCAGTAACAGAAAATCTTTGAACCTTAAAACAGCTTATCACTTCATTGACAGTCCTTTATTTACAAAAAAAATAATCTGCAATTGAATCAAGAAATTAGAAAAGAAGAACAACCAGATTGATATAAAAGCCCAAAAGGATCACATGCACTTCAAATCTGCTAACCAAATCAATCTCTGAGATTGCTCAATTGAGCTCAAATACAGCTTTCAATTAACTCAAAAACAAATCTTTCACACTAAAATTACTGAAATCTCTATAATCAAAGCACAAAATTGGAAAACGTAAAACACCCAGATAAAGAAAAACTCTAAAGCACAATACCCACTTCAGATACAAGCTTTCAATTAACTCAAAAACAAATCTTTCACACTAAAATTACTGAAATCTCTATAATCAAAGCACAAAATTGGAAAACGTAAAACACCCAGATAAAGAAAAACTCTAAAGCACAATACCCACTTCAGATACAAGCTTTCAATTAACTCAAAAACAAATCTTTCACACTAAAATTACTGAAATCTCTATAATCAAAGCACAAAATTGGAAAACGTAAAACACCCACTTCAGATACAGCTTTCAATTAACTCAAAAACAGATCTTTTGCACGAAAATGGAAAAATGAAAAACACCCATATAAAGAAAAACCCAAAAGCACAATACCCACTTCCCAAAATAGCAAAAAGTTACCTCCTTTATCTATAAGTATATATAAAAATTCTCGTGATTACGTGATTTTTCTGAGTATATAGGAATTGAAAAAATGTTTTTTATTTTGGATCAAGGGATGTGTAGTGTAGAGAGTGTTAAAGTGTGTGAAAAAAACTTGGAATTTGGTGTAAAAAAAAGGGATCTTTTTGTTACTATTAATATATTTTGTTTGTTGATGATGACCGTAGGCCATTTTTATCGGCTGCTAACAAAGAAAAAGAAATTTGCCGGAACTTTCGTTTTAGGTAGTTGACTCTTAACGTGCTGTTATTTTATATTTTATTTGTCATATTTACTTGCAAAATTTACCAGGGAGATAATCGATTGAAATGTGTATTTATTGGTTTCGAGATTAGGATATACACAGATTTTATCTTATGTCTTTTAAGGGTTAGATAAAATACTATCTTTAAACATTTCTATTAGATCATGTCTTCGGTAAGTCAGAGGTGTGTTATGTTCTGCCAAATCATCTTCCTCGATCCTTATCTTTTATACATTCTCTACATTTATCTCTGAACCATTTCAGTTTTGCTTTTACTTAGTTTATATTTCACAAGACCACTCTTACTTTATCATGAATAGGTTTGTTCTTAATCATATCTCCTGATATGCACACATATTCATTTGACCATTAACATCATTGTTGCTTTCGTTTTCTGAACTTGTATGTTCTTGATTGGCCAACACACAACTGTATACAACAATGCAGGTCTTATCATTGCTTTGTAGCACTTATCATTAAGCCTATGTGACATTCTTATCACACAGGCACCTAAATATGAGCATCCATTTCATACATCTCGCTCCATTACAATGTGCGACATTCTCGTCAATTTGGATTTAAGATACTTGAAAACGCTTCTCTTGAGTATAGCAAGTGAATCAATCTTCACTTCCACCTTTGTCTCTTATATTATGCCACTGAACTTGCACCCTAGGTACTCGATCTTAGTTATACTAAACCTAAAACCTTTAGACTCTGAAGTCTGTCTCAAAGGTTCCAATCTCTCGTTAAAATATCTCGCCAATCAATATTACATTATCTATGAGAATAACATGCATCACAACACCTTTCCTAAGTATGTCGCACCAATTCATCTATCATCATGGCATATCCTAAAATGAGCATAGGACTAAACCCTACAATCCCATCATGACCGAACCTATTATTCTTACTAGGATCTTAACGCCATCGCGTATGTCTTCAATTACCTAATAAAAAAAATTCTTATACATCCAACCAAACGACTCCGAAAATTAACTTTAAAAACCCAACTCAAACAAACTGTAAAATTTTCTGCCTGCAACAATTTAGATAAGAAATATTCAGAGTTCAAACTTTTCAGCTAAAATGGCAGTGTCCCCTGTAGCTGGTCTCAACTCCAAGCTTTCACTTCCTTCAGGTTCCTCAAATCTCCCTTATTTCAATTGATTGGGCCGCTATTTAGGTTAATTCTTCGTTTCTATTTTGTGTATTTTGGGTTTTAATCTTTTGATTATTTCTTCAGGGAAGCAGCAACACTCCAAATTCACTGGCCAATCAGTGGTAAAGTTCCTTAATTTCTCTTTATTAAGCTAAAGAAATTCCTCATATGTGTAACAATTGCTTGTAATTTTTTATTTTTTTTGGATATAGAGAGCAATACCTATACGCATATTAACTGTGGGGAAGAATAGGTCACAAGGAGTGCAGTTAATAGTTGATGAGTATATGAAGAAGCTCAGGAATTATTGTAGTGTTGATGATGTTCGAATAAAGTCTAATCCCAAAAATGCACGGTATGTTGAAATATTGTCGATTTTTTCGGGTGGATTTGGTATATTTTTATTGGAAATTGGTGAAAACTTGTGAGTTTTAGTCTGTGTTGAACACTAGATGTAATGGTAATGGTAATTTCACTTAGGGATTGAGATGTTGAAGTGATTGACAGAGTTACCTGTTGTTGCTCGGAGGTGATAGGTATCGTTGGAATTAATAGTAGGTTGGATACTATATTTATCAAAAAATGGACCTTCCAACAGAACAACTATGCCTCAATACCAAATAAGTTGGGGTTGGCTATGTGAATCCTCATTGACCATGTTCTTCGTTTAATTTCATCTCTGATTTTTATTTTTTTTGCGAAGTTGGTATGTTTCAATTGGGAATTGGTGATAATTTGTGAGTTGTGGTCTGTGTTGAACACTAGATGTAGTGGTCCATTTCACTTAGACATTAAGATGTTGAAGTGATTAGACATTCCAACAGAACAACTACGCCTCAGTCCTAAACAAGTTAGGGTCGGGTATATGAATGTTCTTCATTTAAATTCATACTAGAAATGATATTTGTCCTTTTCTTTAATTTTTGCCAAGTTGTTATATTTCAATCGGAAATTGGTGATAATCAGTGAATTTTGGTCTTTGTATTGAATACTAGATGTAGTGGTCCATTACACTTGGACATTAAGTTGTTGAAGTGATTGGACCTTCCAACAAAACAACAACTACTCCGCTATCCCAAACAAGTTGGGATTGGCCATATGAATCCTCATTGACCATGTTCTTCATTTAAATTCATCCCCAAATTGTTCGGTGTGTTGAAATTCTGTTTTCTTATTCTTGTTTTTGGCAAAGTTGGTATATTTCAATTGGAAATTGGTGATAATTTGGGGGTTCTGGTCTTTGGATTGAACACACCCTATTTAGTGGTCCTTCTCACTTAGACTTTAAGAACTTGATGTGATTGCACTCTCCAAAAAGAAAATAAAAAAATTTGGTGGTTGTTTGATAATTTCATATCATTAAATAGAGTTGTTTACTTTACTGATATCCCAATGTCCCTACTGGAATCCGTGACAATGTGTTTTACCTATCATGGATGGGATGTAAGTCCCGAAGTGTTAATTTTTAAAGCTTGTTATTTTCATTTGAAACAGTGATGTAGTGGCTCAAATTGAACATGAGGACATTGCTGTTATGGGCCTCATCAAGCCTGATGAATGGGTAAGCGTTCAGAAGTATTTAGAAAATAAAAATTACCCTCTCACCGTCGTAATCTATTTAAAACCAGGTTGTAATGTTGGATGAGCGTGGTCATGATGTGGGATCCGAGCAGATGGCTTCTTTAATCGGAGACGCTGGAAACAAGGTGAGTTATGCTTCATCATGGCAGAGTCTTTTGTTCCTGGTATCATCTATCATGGTTCAGCAGTAAGTATCCCGGCGAGAAATGAAAGTTCTTTCCTGAAATGACCTTACAGATTTTAAAGTCATCACTGGGAAGGGGATCTACGCGAAAAAAATAAACACTAGAATTTTTGAATGACTCTTCTCCTCTATCTTGTAGGGAGCATCAAGCTTACTCTTTTGCATTGGTGGACCTTATGGACATGGTAGACAATTGCGAGAGAGAGCTAACATATCAGTTAAATTGTCATCCTTAGTCTTGAATCATGAGATTGCCTTAGTTGTACTGATAGAACAACTTTACAGGTCAGAGACTGGAACAAACTATTATTCTTTTGAAGTGCTGGTGCCGCTAACCCCTCCCCTGGTCCCTCATTTATGCTGGTAAATATTTCAGTGTTGAGAAGATGGTTTGAGAATATAGTTTCACAACCTGATGTATTCATGCGTCCTGCGTCCTAGTTGCTCTGTGCTCATTAGTCTTTAGAACTAAAAGGCAAACATATATCCTCTGTCCCTCTCCGTATTAGACACTGTCTGAGATAGTATTATTTTAGTCAAGCAAAAGCTTCCTGGAAACGAGATTCAGTGACATGTATTCTACAACTTTGGCGGACACTGTGCTAAAAATGGCTAGCCAGCTAATCCTCCTTTACCTTCTTTATAGGTTCCTTTCATCCATTTATGTACAGTGTCTTGGCATAAATCTTTTTCACCCAAATCTGATTGTTTATCTATCATGTCCATGCATGAATTTCCAGAAACTTAATTGATACGTTGTTCTGAATATTTTGACAGAGGGTGGACCATTCTTAAAGGACAGAAATACCATCACTAGACATTGATGTCTTAACCATGATAAACCAATACTGGTACAGGTAGTACTTCTGCCTAAATATTTGAACTTCTATTCTATTTGCCGTCTTGGTGCCTTGTAATTTACGTTTAATGGATTGGATTTCAACATATGTACTGTACTGACCTTGAGTAGTGAGTAAGGAGAGTAATGGTGTAATTACGTATTTATAAAAAAAATGAGCTTTATTACCCATTGTGCTTCAGTATTTCAAGTGAACTACTTAGCAAACAATCACATGCATTAGCATGATAGCATCTCACACCCTTGTGTAGGTTACCTGATCTGCTGATCATGGAGAAACCTGTCAAAGTCTCCTAACACGGTTGGCTCGTTGAGATTAAATTATTGCCTTTATTGATATATATATTCATTTTGATAGTTTTCCTGATCAAACTAGAAGTTAACATCCATCAAATGGAGTCAATAATTCATTGACTGATATTTTCAGGATTTCTATTTCTTGGAATTGGAAGAAGGAATTGAAATGACTTCCAAATTTCATTCAACCACCATCAGAGCAACTAAACTCAGGTTTGGAATGTCTTTTGAGGATGACCTTGGCCCCCATTATAGATATTCGACGTGCCTAAAGAGAAGAAGGTGGTTGAGAAGTGAGCAGAACCACATTCTTAGATCCTAAAAGTTTGTCAAGGTCTTGACACGTCGAATACTTGATGTTTGGCTTGGTTTACTACACTCTTTGTGAAACCAGATAGTACTTCTATTGCGATGGTATGTGTCATGTCACACCTCTTGATGTGCCTGTCCAGATCTAACGTTGCGATGTTGACAAGCCTGGCCTAGACATTTTAGCCACCACAATGATCTAATTCATTATGCTATGTTCACTATTTCTAATGAATGGAGTAAAGGTTTTGTGTATTTATATCCTTTTTGAGTCTTTGGATTCCAAGTTAGACAAGTATTGTTTCTTGTGATAAGATATTATTCATTTGAAACATTTGCCAAACCAATACACAAAAGACACTTTTGTAGACCAAACTATCTTTTTGATCTTGTTAGAAATTAAAATGGAATATAGTAATTTTCACTTGATATATCTTATATTGTGTATGTAATTTTGTATCTCCTATTGCCATTTGTCATATGTTAATGTTTGCAAATCTCACCAAACCTTTTGTTTCTTATTCTTAAGGGATGACCAAGTGATAGCTAAAATAACTCTTGGCTCTCCTCAATAAGTCGTAAAACCTCAGACGTGTTCCAATTGAAGTTGATGTGTATAATGAAAAAATAAATCTTAGCTCTCCTCAATAAGTCGTAAAACCTCAGACCTGTTCCAATTGAAGTTGACGTGTATAATCAAAAACTAAATCTTGGCTCTCTTCAATAAGTCGTAAAACCTCAGACATGTTCCAATTGAAGTTGATGTGTATAATCAAAGAAGGTGACATATTTTAATCTAATAGATGTTAGTGAACATACACCAAAACGAGTCTTAACAGAAACACTTTATCATGTGTTTAGGTGCTCATAATAACTCAAGAATCCATGTTCAAACTGGCCACAAAGTCACTGGCTGGTTAGTATGTCAACTCAACTCATTATCCTACCCC